TATGTAAAGGTAAGGCAGAGATTTGAATATTTATGTAATCAAAGTCCAAATAAATCTTTCTCAAGCTCAAACTGTGACAACTTTCTGCCCAAGCACTCCAAAATCTGGATTCTTAGCATTGTTCATGATATTCAAAATTATGGCATGTATATGAAAAGTGTTGATTAGATTCATCTCTTCTGATGTATTTGTGCTCTATTAGCCACTCTATTTGCTTTTTTATCGTTTTCTTTTGTGGTAAGAACATATTTTTCAAAATTTCTACTAATTCAGTCTGCAGCTGAGCATTAATAATTTTCTTTCTTTCATTACTTGTATGATAGCTTCCTCGGTTCTCAGTATTTTAAATTGAACTATTCCTTCATTTTCTTCTTCCTCATCATTTCTATAGTGAGCTGCAAGTGTCCAATGAAGTTGATTTTACCCCTTTTCTGAACTTTTGCATTTGTTATTAAACTGAACTCCTGGTTCACTGAAAAGAGTGTACCTTCTATAAAGTTGTTGGATGAGCTGACTTGAGGTTTGTACAATAAAACTTGCTGTTTGAGCTTTGGGAAAGCTACAAAGACCATGAAATCCTTCTAAGTTCAGGATCAGGGAGTTCAGTTGCAAGTTTTACACTTTGAAAGCTGATTTTTTTTTTCCCCCTCTGAGTCTTTGGTTCTATGCAAACAGCACAGCCAGCTGAAAACATGGTTACCTCCAAATCGTATTGACCTACTTAATTCTTAAACATTATAATTCTGTTTGACATGAGATGAGCCAATGTAATTTTCTACCACTATTAATTTTTTTGTAAAATTCTTCTACTTCAGGTATCAAGTCCTCCACTTCAGTAGGAAGTCAGACAAAGACTTTTTCTGAGCTTCTTGACCAGCCTTCAGCATTCAGAATTTATATATTAACCAAGTCAGCTGGTAAAGCCAACTTACTATTTTTGTGTGTTTCCTTAAAACCTTGGTTCAAATCTTCAGGTACTTTTATGTCCTGAAAAATTCTAGCAAGCTAGTTTACATAATCTTACCAGTTTCTCTTAACCAGTGTACCATATTTTCAATTTCACTATTGGCAGAGATGTCTAATATAAGACTGTGTCAAATGAGCTTTGTGATACCTCATAAAAACATCTTTGTTTTTTATGCATTTAAAAGTACCAAGAGCACTTCTTTCAATATGGTAACGTCATTAATAACAGCTTTATATGCCTTATCTCTTGCAGTACGAAACTGTGGATCATCTCGAAAAGCTTCTTTGATGAGTTAACTAATCTATTAAATAGTGTAAGTAACTGCTTAACATATTTCTCAGAGTCAGTGGTAATAATTTCAGCAGCTGCTACCTTATCTGCCTGGGCAGCATTTATGATGTGTTCCTCTCAATCTTTGAGAATCAGCTCTTTCTCATTAGGAACTTTGCTCATCAAAGAAAACATTAAACACAACTTTTCAGTTTCATTTCGCTTGATCATGCCTTGGCACTCTGCTAGGATAGTCTCTTTAAATGATGTCACCAAGACAGTCACACAGCATTCCATGAGAGCTTCAATAGTTGCATTCTAGTCTTGCATTTCTAGTGGTTTTTTTTTTTTGGTATTGGGGATCAAACTCAGGACCTTGCACTTGCGAGGCAGGCAGCGGAACCACTGAACTAAATCTCCGGCCCACTAGTCTTGCATTTCTAAATAATGTAGTGGTCATTTTTTGTTTTTTTAAAATTTAGCATCTGCATATTTCATATAATTCTGTACACCATTTTTTGGTAAATATGAGGGTGCCTGAGTTCTATAAAATTTCTCTATTGAATCCAAATATGCCTTCTCAAAAGTGTCCCGACAAATCTGAAGCTTATCCTCAGGATTGGAACAAAGTTTAACATAGGATTTTCTTACTCCAATGACCAGTTGAGAATCAGAAGCTTCTCCTAATGTTTCAACACATACCAGCTTCATTGCACTATCTTGTAGTCTGTTTTTATATTTGAAAAATTTGATTCATCCCATGTATCAAGCATGAGCTTTCAAATAACACTATCTTCCACATTTGTTTTTTTTAATTGCTGCCCTATTTACCCATTAAAATAATTTCTAGTTCACAAAAGAATTTCAGTAAAATATCACATTGTGTAAAGAATTTTTGCCATTCAACAATATATGATTTTAGCAAAGCTGTGTCATTTTTTTTTGTTATTTTTTTGGTACCGGGGATTGAACTCGGGACCTTGCGCTTGTGAGGCAGACAGTGGAACCACTGAGCTAAATCCCCAGCAAAGCTGTGTCATCTTGATGGCTCAATACTCGTGCCTGGGCTTGCTTAATACATTCAAGGATATCTTCTTTTTTTTTTTTTTTTGGTACAGGGGATCAAACTCAGGACCTTGTGCTTGAGAGGCAGGCAGCAACACCACTAAGTTAAATCCCCGGCCCAAGGACATCTTCTTTTAAAGCCTGACAAATTTTTGCAGGGCCTTTAACATCCTAAAGACAGACTGCATGAACATCTGAAAAGAGATCAAACCGCTGTTGTTTTATAACAGATTCCTGGTGTAAATGCCTCAAAACAGACACATAAAATCCCGCTGGCCTTCAAACTGAAGAGAGCCTTTATTCTGTAATAGATTACACTTCCCCGTATTTCTTCAATTTTGATTCTCTTGGGCCGGGATTTAGCTCAGTGGTTTTGATGCCTGCTGCGCAAGTGCAAGTACCCGAGTTCGATGATCCACGGTACAAACAAACAAAATAAAAAATTTTTTTGACGCTTCAGAAAAGGCTAGATTTCGCAGTGCTCCCAGCCAGACCACAGGCCACAGGTGAGAGTGAATTCCCACAAGGGCCAATGGGTCCAGCCGCCCACAAGGCTGGTGTAGGCCAGCAGGGTGGACAACCGTGGACTGGAGGCTCCCCAAGCGACTGGAGAGGTGAATGGTGAGACAGTAAGGGGAGCCGACCTGATTTAGGAAAGGAAGCATGGACTCCACCTGCACCCCCCCCCCCACACTTTGTGGTTGCCTAGGTATTTGCCTTTAAAGCAAGACTGATGTCATTCTGAGGCGGGGAGGCACGGTGTGGAAAAACTGATTGGGGGAATTAGTACGACTAGATTCCAGGACATAAGCACCAAATAATTCCCAAGGCCCCATATGTAGAATTCTTGTGGAATTCTTCCCCCCGTGTGTGGAAGAAATAAAAAGACACAGATGCCATGAAGAGCTTGCTACCTGTTATCCTGCCCTGTGTCCCCCAGGGTGTACTTTTATTTAGTTTTTATTTTTACTTTTCCTCTTAGCCCAAATTTGCTTTGCAGATCTAGTTTCTCCCATACCCTTCACTTTTAATTTTTCAAATAAACTTTGCTGTTTTTGCTTGTCTTGTTCAGTTCTTTGTTCCAGACAAAAAGAACCAGGAAACCACCTCTAGAAAGAGACCACCTGGTAACAAGTCCACTTGGTATTTATTGACATACAACTTTTTTTTATCTGAGAAATTTTTCAGAACTGTGAATATGACATCAATTAAGAAGTACCCTGAACACTTGTTGATTTTGGTACAAGAATGGAATTTTACTGCGCTTTATTGTGTGGATTGCTTTGTGTGGACCACTGTGAAAAATACATAAAGGACTTGGCAGTGTGTTGGTTTGTATTTATTCTTATATCCATTTCTGAATGCCACTGAAAATCATTGTTTAGAAAGTTCTGTGGACTATTGTTTTGAAGTAGGAAAAGTACAGTATTTAGATTCACAACCCATTTTCTTTAAGAGGAGAAAGCCATATTGTGATTATGGGGATGGTAAAAATGAATACTCAAACTTACTTGTGGGTCTAAATCTTTGAATGTCATTTTGTGATACAAGGAAATGTCTCCTGAATCAGGCAAGTTCACACAGATCTCAGTTCCTCTACCTTTTGCAGCTTATTTGTTTACATATTTGTGGCAAATTTTCTGGAATCATACGATCTAAGGTATAGATTACTGCTTCAGAAATCTTAAGTGTGACATTCCCATGGAAATCTTTTTTTTTTTTTTTTTTTTTTTACCGGGGGTGGAACTCAGGACCTTGCCCTTGCCAGGCAGGCTCAGTGCCTCTGAGCTCCACCCCCCCCCCCCCAACTCTTTAAAAAGTTTTGCAGGTCTAGCTTCAAGTGATAGTGGATAAAGCCTCAATTACACTGCTGTTGTGGGAGAAAAATCAATTCTACTTTAAAATCTACCATTTTTTATTCCACAATCACTGAATCCTGTTAATTCTTAGCTCTCCATTCACCTGTGTCTCTCTTTATCATATCTGGAGAAAAGTGACAAATGAATAGGTCTAAAATGCATTTCTGTTGTTAAAGAAGAAGGAGGATCAAGAAGCTGTGAAGTGTGCCCTCAGCTGACTTGGAGATTAAAGGAAATGAAAAAAAGTAGATCTAAAAAGCTCTATAGACATTTCTCTATACACAGGATCAACAGCCAAAACTGCTGATTTAAAGAAGTAGAAAACTGTTTAAATAATGCTAAATGAAGCACAGTTATTCTAAATTATCTGGATACTTATTTCACTTCTAAGTTTCCAATTTACACCAAGCCACATGCCCTCCCATCCATTCCTGGGGAGTCTCTTATCCCCTCTGGTGGTCCAGCGGTCCTCCTCCCAGCGCAGATGAAGATTATTTCCACCCGCCCGCCCCAGGCTTTGGCCGCAGCCTCTGGACCGGCCCCGCCGGTGTTCCCTTGAACTTTGCACACCGCGTGACGGGAGGCAGATCCCGCGCAGTGGCCCGGCCTTTCACGCGGGCCCTTCTCGAAGGGAAAGGAGCCTGGTTTCCGCGGCCGGGGCGGAGGGCCTGAGCTGGGGTGCGCAGCTCTCTCCCCCGCCCGGCGCAGCCCGCCCCCAGCCCTCGCCCGCCCTTCCCCCCAGTTCGCGACCCCGGACTCCGAGCGGGCGCTTTCCACGGCTGTCCTCGGCCGCCCCAAGCGCTTCGCGGGAGGAGGCGCGAGCCGCCGTGACGCGTCTGGGAGGAAACGCCGGCGCCCGGCGGCCCTGCGGGAAGGAGGAAGCGAGACGGCGCTCGGCTCCGCGTTCCCCGCGTCGCGAGGCACAGCCACAGAGCCGGGTAGGTGTGGGTCCGGCGGGAGGGTCCGCGCGTGTCTAGGCCGCAGTCGGAGCTCCGGGGCGGGGGGAGCCCGGGCGGGGCGAGGGCTTCTCGGGCCTCGACTCTGCCTCGGGAGAGCCAGCGTGCCTCCTGGGTGCCCCGGAAACCTCCGAGTGGACCGGCCAGGAAGAAGCCCAGCCTGGCTCTGGAGACTTTGTGGTCTTTGTTTCCTGGAAGGGAATTCTGGTCTTGCTCTGAGGCTCCTAACCGCCCACGAGGTGTCAACTGGATATAGTTAACCTATGCCCAGCCCCGAGTCCAGTGGAGCGCGGGAACGCGGAGCGGGGAGACCCCTTTTGAGGCGCGAGCACGTGGGGATTATCCGTGAGGAGCGGGATCGCTGCTGCCTTGGAAGAGGGGTGGACAGGGGACCTGTTGTCAGTGGACCTGGAGAACGAGACTTTCGCGAGTCGCTCTTTTAAGTTCTCCAAGATTGGGACCCTTTCCGTCCTCTTTCAAATGACTGGTTCTGTTGTTAGTTTTTAAGCATTGATATGTACCCCGTCTGGAAATGCTCTGAGAATTTTTAGATTTCGTCATTTTTAGTGATGGTTACTTGAAAAGATGGAAAACAGAAAGGATTCCTCTCTCGGACCTTTAAAACCCTTTCACCTAATTTTACACGATTATTTCTGAATCATAAGCAGGATTTCAGTCCTGTACAAGAGACTACACAGAGTGCCCTTGAGATTCAAGAATAAACAGAGCACTACAGTTTCAAAATCTTTTGTCAAGGTAAAAAATAGATTGTTGTGTATTTTGATTCTCTCTCATTCAGTATTCACCCAGTCCATTTGGGAAGTCCCCTCTCCATTTATGAAACACAGATTTTACTATGTACTGGGCTCTAAGTGCTTTATAAATATTAACTCAAATTCTTAATTCAAAATATTAAATTGTAGTGGTTCTAGTTATGAAATGGCTGTGTGCGTATTTTAGTTCCCTAAATACCATAGCAAGAGCTGGAACCATGAAAGGAAGTTTCAGGCGTATTTTAGTACTTGGGTGTGCCCTCTGGTCCCCTTGGCCACCACTCCCATTAGACAGGCTTCCACTGTTGTACGTCGGGGAAGGGAATCTGCAGAGCTAGGAATACAACCTGTCGCAAGCAGGTGTCCAGTCAAATCCCAAAGCCTTCTGTATGATGGTCACTCTCGTCTGTCATGGTGCCCATTAGCTAATTCTGGAGAGACCAGAACTCCCCTTTTTCTTTAACTGCCACTCCATCGTATCTAATTTTGATTTTAAAAGAACTTTATTCCTAATGTTTGACAGTTTATATGACACAGCTTAAAAGTCAGATTGAACTTGAAATGTACTAGAAAATAGGACATTTTTGTTTATACACATTAACATAAATTGTATTTTGTAATTTTACTAGCATTTGCTATTGATAACATTGAGTTGGTGAGTGAGCCTTGTAGTTGTCTATTTTGTGATTTACAGATATATAGAGGATACTTTTCCAGAATAAAATGCCTCCTTTGAATGAGCCCCTTGGCCTAATGACCAGATTGGTGGATCTTCTGAAATGGTGAATAAATAAGCTATTTTGTTACTGTGGTGATTGTATTTATAGTGTTAAATTGTGTACATGGTTCTGGTTTTCTCCTTCCCTCCCTCCTGGTACCCTCCCATATTTTTAAATTTCTAGGGTGATGATTAAATGAGATGATAAACCTTATTTAACAGGATTATGAAATGTCTGTTGAAGCAGGAAGGCTTACTTTGCTCTAATGTAATTTATGGCAAGACAGATGTTAGTGGCACTCGTGAATTCAGTTTGACCAAGGATACCCGACAGTTTCATGGTTTACAAGGTGTCTCCAGACATACCGTACTCATTGACTTTAAAGAGAACTTGTTAGGTTGGTAACCATCATAAATTCCCTTTTGTACAAGAAACTGAGGCAGAAAAATGTTAATGTTAGTTTTAGTCCTAACTGCACAGCTGGTGAGACACAGAGCTTGATTAAAGAGTAGTTTATGGACAGAGTCTGGCACGTGCAGACTTGTAAAAGCATTTGTAGAATGAATAAATCTAGACTTCAGATATCTTGTTCTTTCAATACATACCTCTCAAAATGCAATCATAATCAATTTGTGCCAGAGATTTCCAGGCTTAATCTAGTGCCTCTTCTATTTCAAACAGTATCTGTTACAACACTTTTTCGATAAAAAGGAGAGAAGTGCTTGCAACTCATTGCTAAGATTTGTGGTCTCTGATTTTTGAAAAAGAAAATACCCCCCCTTTTTATGATTTTGAGTTTCAAATGGACATACAGTGTTTGTGTTGACACAAACTGTCTTCTATCTCTGTACTACTTAGATTTATGAGTACGTTCAAACCCAATAATCATAGGTATTGTTATATCTTTTGAAGTGTCTGGCATTACTTGATTTTTGGAATGTTGCAATTTACTATAAAGGATCTTAAAAAAAATCAAAATCCTCAACTATTTATATCCTTCAAGCATAACCCTCTGTATCTTTAAAGTATGTGATCTCCAGATGGTTAACCTTCCATTAGAGAGGAAAGTATGGCCATTGCCTGGTGGGAGGAACTGAGAAAGGCTATCAGGGAGAAATGAAAGATGAGATAGCCTTTCCTATGAGGGATATGAGGTACTAAGAAACCTCTGATGAAGCCACATTGAGTCATCTGCCTGTCAGTCTTCTATGAGGGGGTGGATTAAACACTTTTGAAACCTCTCCCTTTTCCAATCCTCATGTTTTCTTTCTCTTTTTAAAAAAATTCACGTAAATTACTAATCAAACTGCTGATTCACAAAATTCAAATTATGTAACATGTTATTCCTAATAGAAGCAGCTCCTTTATTTTAAGCGACTCAGTGTCTCTGTTTTCCTTTACTTACTCCATTCCTTATGGTGGAGACTTTGTTCTTGCCTCACTTTTTTTCTTCCTTCTTTCATGGAAAAAAGTGGTAGATCTAAGAGGTGCCATTTCTCTACATTGTAGTTCCTGTCGACGCGGAACCCTACAAAGATTCCTTATAACAAGACCTCTTTCTCTTATCCCTGAATAACAGCAGAATTGTGGCTACAGGGAGATTAATTTAGGCACAGTTTTGGGAATGTGTGGGAAAGAAAAAAGGATCTGAGAAAATGGACAAGGGCGAGGATTCTGCTCATTACCCTAAATCCCTCTGAAAGCCCTCGAGTTCAGCCTCAGACAGGAAATAAAATTTTACTGGTTGATGCTCTAAATTGGCCTTCATTTGACTTCCACATCATCTTCTTTGGCAATGACAATTCAAAGCTAGTATTTATTGAGTTAAAATCATGTTGACAGCATTCTACAAACGTGCATAACTACACAGTCTCATGCACATACTAATTACATGTATATGATCAGCAAAATGGGAGTTTTGGAATTATATCCTTAGTTTCCCAAGAAAATGCTAAATATGTATCCTTTTTCTTATTTTGCCTCTCTCTTTTTTTGGTTGAGAAATTGAACCCAGGGCCTCATGAATGCTAAGTCCTCTGCCACTGGGCACACCCTGAACCTGTTTCACATTTTTTAAAATTTAATTTTTAAAAGTTTTTAATAAATTTTATTTTATCTCATTCCCCCCCATGTTCAAAAGCTTTGTTTCCATTTTTCCTTCTATTTTCACTTTTTTATTGTCCCTTCCTTCCTTTCTCCCTCCCTCCTCCCTTGTTCCCCTTCCCGTTTGAACACTTTCTTCCCATTTCCATACATCCAGTATAGATCTCAGTCCTTATTTCCACATTCAGTTTCTCATACCAGAAAAACAACGAGGTATTTAAACGTGTGTCTGATTTATTTCACTTAGGAGTATGGTCTCAAGGTCCATCCATTTAGCTATAAATGTCTGAAGCTCATCTTTCTTTATGGCACAGCAGTACTCCATTATATAAAAAAACCACATCTTTATCCACTCATCAGTTGATGGGCATTTGGACTGTTTCCAAGATTTAGCTATTATAAACTGTGCTGCTGTAAACATGGGAGTGCATATATCACTGTAATATGATGCTTTTAATTCTTTGGGGAAGATACAAGAAGAGGTATAGCTGGGTTGAATGGAACCTCTAGTTTTAGTTTTTTGAGAAATCTCCACGCAGATTTCCACAGTGAGTGCACCAGTCTACACTCTCACCACTAGTGGAGAAAGGTTCCTTTCTCCCCACAGACCCACCACCATTTGTTACTGGTTGATTCTTGATAGCAGCTTTTCTTTCTGGAGAATCTTAGCATTGTTTTAATTTACATCTGTCGAATGACCAGTGATGTTGAACATTTTTTCATATATTTATTTGCCGTTTCTAACTCTTAATCTGAGAAGTATCTTTTTATTTCAGATGCCCATTTTTGGAATGGGTCTTTAAATTTGGGGGGGGTCTGATTTTTTTGAGTTCTTTATATATTCTAGATAATAGTCCTTTGTCTAGATAACAGTTCTTTATATATTCTAGATAACAGTCCTTTAGAATAGTTGGTAAAACTTTTCTCTGTGAATTGTCTCTTCACTCTGTTGGTGGTTTCTCTTGCTGTGCAAAAGCTTTTTAATAAGATGAGGTCCCAGTTGTTGATTCTTTGTAGTATTTCTTGTGCAATCTGGGTTTTGTTCATGAAGTCTTTGCCTACTTCTGTGTCCTCAAGCGTTCTATTTTCTCTTCCAGCAGATTTAGTGTTATATTTAGATCTTTGACCCATTTCTATTTTAGGTTAGTTCATGGTGAAAGATATGGGTCTAGTTTCAATCTTTGGCATGTGGAAAGCCAGTTTTTCCAGCATCATTTATTAATGAGGCAATCTTTCTTTCAGTGAAGGTGTTTGGCTCCTTTGTCAAAGATAAGGTGGCTGAGTATGTTTGGAGTTGTTTCGGCATCTTCTAGTCTGTTCCATTGATCCTCAGGCCTGTTCTTTTGCCAGTACCATGCTGTTTTTATCACAGTAGCTTTGTAGTATAATTTCAGGTCAGGGATTGTGATACCCCCTGCCTTGCCTTTGTTGCCCAGAATTGTCTTTGCTATTCTAGGTCTCTTCTGGTTACAAATGAATTTTAGGTTATTTTTTCTAATTCTGTGAGATATTCTGTTGGGATTTTGATTGGTATTGCATTGAATCTGCATACCAATTTTGGAAGTATGGCCATTTTCACTATGTTGGTTCTTCTTATCCAAGAACAAGGGACATTTTTCCATTTTCTGATATCCTCTTCAATCTCCCTTTTCAGATTACCATAGTCAAAAATTAATTTTATTTACAAAGATATGCATGCTCTTAAGTGCAAGCAATTGAAGAACATATGTAACAAAAAATAAATATTTCTCACTCTAACAAATAAAGTACACTTTTTCAAAAAATAGACTCACTGTGCAGCTTGTTTCTTTTTTTATTTCTTCCCCATTAAGTTTATTGGTACATTTTAGGTATAAAATACAGTTACATTCATCATTGGGATCTTGTACCTTTACATGAGTATCTTGAGTCTTATTTTTT